CACCTTTTGGGGGTCAAAGAATCCAGTGGAAATTTGGTTGAAGCTGTAGAATCTCTATTCTGGATACTGTGCATGTGCCCTGCTTTCTCTGGAAGCCCCCCCCCCCCCCCCCCACCCAACCCCCATGCCTGGCCTCCAGGGCCAAGCTGTACCCACTCTAACACCTGGGCCACAGCCTTCCAACCTAGCGGACCGCTGGGCCTTGCTGGGGAGCGCGTTACAATGACAGATGCCCTGGGTCCATTCAAGGCCCATTCAAAGCTTGGAAGCTGGACCAGGAGATATGCGGGGTGTAAGCACCCCCAGGGGAGCCTGCAGCCAGCGGCGCCGGCACACACAGGTGCTGGGGTCATGACCCTGACACACTGGGCCCCTGGTCTGACCCTGACATCCTGGGCCCCTGGTCTGACCCTGACACCCTGGGCCCCTGGTCTGACCCTGACGCCCGCCCATTCAAAGCTTGGAAGCTGGACCAGGAGACATGCAGGGTGTAAGCACCCCCGGGGGAGCCTGCAGCCAGCGGCGCTGGCCCACACACAGGTGCTGGGGTCATGGCCCTGACACACTGGGCCCCTGGCCTGACCCTGACACCCTGGGTCCCTGGTCTGACCCTGACACCCTGGGCCCCTGGTCTGACCCTGACGCCCTGGGCCCCTGGTCTGACCCTGACATCCTGGGCCCCTGGTCTGACCCTGGGCTCTGCAGGGCAGGCTTATTGCAGTCACGGCCCTCATCCCCACCACAGGCGGAAGCTCCCCCTGAGTGGGCTTATCCGTGCCTCCCACCCCCACAAGGAGCCTCCCACCTTTTCCTCAGTGGCACCCCACCCCCCACTTCAGAGCCTCCCACCCTGACCCTGGGGAGTCCTTCCCTCACGGGGTGGGTGGGGAGGGGGCTGGCCCCATTCTGCCTGCTCCCTGCTTCCCTGTGCTCAGCGCTTACAGATTCGCTTCCTCTCCAGGACCCGCTAAGCACACCCGCTGTCCCGCTGCCCAGGCACCCCGAGACTTCCCTCTGCAGGGTAAACAAACCAGTTCCCTTTCCATCTCCAACAACTTGACTATTTTCATCTAACCCTTCTCCAGAGTCCTGACTCAGGCTGTTTTGCCTCGTCCGGAAGCTGAGCTGACATGCTGTGCTATGGGAACCCAGAGAACAGTCTAGACCAGCGGTTCTCAACCTGTGGGTCACGACCCCTCTAGTGGTCGAACGACCCTTTCACAGGGGTCGCCTAAGACCATCCTGCGTATCAGATATTTACATGGCGATTCATCACAGTAGCAACATTACAGTTATGAAGTAGCAACGAAAATAATCTTATGGTTGGGTCACAGCATGAGGAACTGTATTTAAAGGGCCAGAAGGTTGAGAACCACTGTCTAGACTGAGCGTCTGGCTGTACGGGACCCCCAAAGCCGAGCTCTGGGCCCCGCGGGGGAAGCACCTTCATCCCTGGAGAAGCGGGTCTTGGTGACAGTCCAGTTGGAGCGCCGGCCTCCGTCCACGGCCCGGACTTTGGCTTTGTAGCCGTTGCTGTGGTACAGGTCCAGCGTGGCCATGGTGAGGTCGCAGGCCGGCACCGGGGTCTGGCTGCAGTTGGGCACCGACCTCCAGGGCTCCATCCCGTACCTGGGGGGACAACAGGGTAGGCACTGGCTCCCACTTCTGTTCACACCCATCTTCTTTAAGAGGAAGGCAAGAGGCAGGAGCGGCCAGGAAGGCAGCCCTGGGTGCTTGCCCTGGTGCAGGGCATCTCATTGCCAGGGGCTCTGCGCCGGCCTGGGACCCCCAGCCAACTCTGTGTCTAAAGGCCCTCAGACTGAACGCTGACCGGCTCAAGCCCATATCCACAGGAAGACGTGCTGCTCCTGCAACACAGCCCAGTGTCCCCGCCCAGCCGCACTTGCAGTCCTTGGGGCTCCTTGTTTTTAGCTCGACTGTGGGTGCTGCTCCTGTTTCTCCAATAAGATAGACAAATCCTGAGGGGAAAGGCACTGCTGTGCTTCCCCCCCCAAGAGCCCCCAGT